CCTCATTATCACTTAGTTTTATATCAATAATATCGTAATAAGGTATAATTAAAAAGTGCGCCTCAAAATTTAAAGTTTTAATATCCCATTTTGTAATATTTCCTATATCATTATCATATATAAATATTTTTCCTTTAGGTGATATGAAAATTTGAGATGGTTCCACGTCCAATTTTATCGTTGATTTGTGAATCAATTCGGGCATATTTTTTGTATTTTTTTTCTGAGTAAAGACATATATCCTATAACCATTAAAACTATACATATCACGACTATCAACGATCATAATCAAATTACCATCTTCTAAAAAAGTCAGATATTTAAGCACATAAGAAGAATATGAAAGACTTAGCCGAAGTGGCTGTTTGGTCTTAAAATCGAAAATTCCTTTAAATAATATTATATAAAGAAGATAATAATAATTATGTTTTAGATTAACTTAAAATGAGGGAACCTTAATTATTTGTAGGAATAAATTGCCTCATATAATGTTTAACGTATATAAAATTAAATATTTTATAACAAATAATTGTTATTAAAATTTATGATCTATAAAAAGAAAAAACCTACCAATATCTTTTTCATAAAAAGTCTTGCCTTTGTTATCGATTACCGGTAAACAAATTGGCATAGAAACTAGTTTATTATCAGAAACAGTAAATGATTTAATCGTAATTAGATGGACATCCTTAATTGAATGTTTAAAAATATCGATATCTTTTTGTGAAATCATATATTCATGCTTCAACTGATGTTCATTATCATCAATACACCAGCCAACGACTGATAGATCTTCTTCACTCCATGTAGCAATATATTTCATATTAGGTGAACTCTCTATCATCTCTACTGGTTTGCCATTATGTGGAGTAAAATCTGTATCTGTAATTTGGATATATCGTTCAGAGGTAGTTGACATTTTTTTTGTTTATCGCAATCAACTTTTAATTTCCAGCGTCACTTTAAATACTGAACTTATAGCCCTTGCTTAAGCGTAAATAAGACTGTTATAGATTTAAAAACTTATTTTTATTTATTTGCTTTTTAAAGCTTACATAACCCTTAAAAATTTCATATTATTAGAGCATCCGAAAAATATTGTGCCATAGTGGCTGGATTGATTTTAATCCATTAATAATAATATGTAATAAATAATATAATATATAACCTTGCCAATTTCTATGTTATTTCCTACGGAAGTTTTAAAATTCCACTAGGGACGTTGTTATTCATGATAATTTCTATTAGTATGATTTTTACTATTCAGCGCCAAATTAAAACTAAGA